AAAAAAGAATGGTTGTGGGTCAAAAACAAAAGGTCGAGGGTCAAATTAAACGGTTGCGGGGGTCAGAAAAAAAGGGTGGGGAAAAAAAAGGGGGCGTGGGTCAAAAAAAAAGGGGAGCCCGGTCTTTTCTGGCCGTTTGGGCAGTACATCTCTGATTTGGACGATGTGGAATTGTTACAATTGTGGATACCTCAAAGCTTATACTTAGTAATCCCGAGTACCTATTTATAAACACTCCCCAATTAAAAAAACCCACGTCCGAACCCCTAAATTCGGTTTATATTTGGTTTTAAATTGCCGCCCTTTCAAACCGCTACTAAACTACCAACATGGTCGATTTTGGGGGTAGTTTTTTTAATTAGGTTCCCCAAAACTCCCCCAAAATAGGTCCCAATACACCCTCAAAATCGACCATGTCGCGTTGCAGACTCTCCGCTGGCTCTCCTAGTAGCGAGGCCAGGAGCCCCTAGTAGGGGCCTTACTCCTAGTAGCGATGCTAGGCGTCCCTAGTAGCGTCCTTGCTCCTAGCAATAGCTAACTCTAATTGTCTGGCTGTCCCTGACTCTCCACTCCCTGTCCCTCCACTGGCTGCCTGCCTCTCTCGTTTGTGCGGCGGACTGTCTGGCTCTCTGTCTGGCTGGGCAGGTTGATATCCAGGTCTAAAGAGCACTGCACCTGCCACGAAATCTGCATTTCAATGTCAACAGAGTACTGCACCTGCCACGAAATCTGCACTTCAAGGTCAACAAAGTACTGCACCTGCCACGAAATCTGCCCTTCAAGGTCAGCAAAGTACTGCACCTGCCACGAAATCTGCACTTCAAGGTCAGCAAAGTACTGCACCTGCCACGAAATCTGCAGTTCACGGTCAACAAACTAGTGCACATCCACTGAGCCTATTTTGAACCCCCCGATTTCAGGGACCCCCTATTAAAAAAAATGCGACCGAGGTTTTTTTAATAGGGGGGGGGGGCGTGTTTATTATTAGGGGGACGGGATTATACATCTTAGTACTTTCATGTGCTTTCTGTTGGCGATCCATGACAAACCTCATATTTCATGACAATTACTTAAACTTTATCATGCAAAAACAAGAAAAACACTATACTCAATGAGGTAAAGGACCAGGATTGAATGGGTCAGACTGAACCTGTTGGGACTCTGTCAACAGGGTCACTTCGACTGTCAGCCTCTCGTGCAAACTAGGGACTGTACATCTGTATGTGAGTTGAGCACTCAAGGTCAAACCCTGACGGTTGACTTCAGAGCCTCTAAAACAACTGATAATCCCTGCCGTCCCACTGAGCGATTGACCCACATCAGCCACATCAGCACAAGTCAGCATTCATCGTCCTTTCACCCTTCCCTCCACAATTCTATCATCCCTCATGCATCACCTACCCAACCAAAGCCACTCCAACAGGCTCAACCTCACCCCTACGTGGTGGACGCCCCCACTCCAGGTCCAACGCCCAACGCGTCCCAGGCGCTTGCGATTGGGTGAGCCGCTGCGGAACTCCACGGTGCCAGCGCCGTCCCGCTCGGCGGCCTCCGCCTCGGAGGTGGCGAAAGCTCCGTCTGTCCCGGAAAAGGATTCATCGCGCTTTGGGCAACATAGAAAGGCCCGGGGAGTCCAGTCGACTATAAAAAGAATGGGGAACTGAAAGGGGAACTGATTTCGGGAACTTCCTTTTTACTCCAGCCGGTCAAGATATGGTCTTTGGACTTCTAGGGAAGGTATACATGAAGCAAAACCAGGTCATCCTTCAGGCCAAGCTCTAGTTGGACCTTGCAGCTGAAACCGCTGAACCCGCACCGACCAAGCAGGTGAAGTCCAGCAACCGACCGGTCCACAAGGGGACCTGACCGGGTCACACCAGGGTCATCCTGTCTGGGTGTCCAACAGACTACCCACCTTACGTAAACAGGCCTTACCTTACAGGGCACCCAAACAGGAAGTGCTAGGCACATGATTGTTATGATGATCTTATGGGTTGAATCCCGAATCCCGAACAACCAGGTGCTTCTCTTGTGAGCTTGGAAGGTCAACGGAACTGTTTTGAATGGTCTTTGCAGGCTATAGGGCAAAGCGCAATGGTTGTGTATACCCTGTGACTCACGTTCCATGGAAGTGGGAACCCAAAACCGACCGCCACGCTGCTTTTTTATAGAGGATGTCATGGTCCTCAGAGTGGCCATGCCATCCACTTCCATTGGCTAAGGTGAGTCGGAGGGGTAAACCTCCTATGTATCATACTCCCTAGGGCTCCAAGTACCTCCTCAGAAGGTATCTGGACCCTCTAAACCCACCCTAAACACCTTCTCAGAAGGTACTTGGAGCCCTAGGGACTATCATTCCAGTGCAAGTTGTCTCCTCCTTTCCGCTCTGGCCTCTTGTTGCCGCTTGTACTCCTTGATCGCCTCTTGTGCGTTTGGCAAGCCTGCCAGCTCCAAAGCAGACCCACTTTCAAGCGAGACGTACAAGCCCCAGCATAGACTTAATCATCATACATCCAAAAAATACACCCTCTGACTGATCATAATTCTGGTTCGAGGTTCCTCTGACCTGCGATCACTCACTATTTGTTCAGTCCCCAAGTGCTGATCCGCTTCCCCGCGGAATCCGAGACTGTCGTGACATCGCGGAATCCTCCCGTGGGGATGGTGTCACTTTGGTCACTCATGGTTAGCGAGGTATGAAGAGAATAGACTACGTAGACCTAGTCCTACATGCCTAAATGACCAGAATAGACTGTAAGTACCAGCACCCTCCGACAGGTGTTTCCTGGACAACACGTGCCCAGAAACCACCTGTTCGTGTCCCAAAACAGCCTGGCCAGGAGGGTCCTGGTAGACTTGGTGCACCTATAATCCCTAGCGCTCCAACCATATTCTCAGAAGGTGGGGACAGACCCCCCTGGCACCCACCCCAACCATCGAACCTCAGGAGGTGGGCCAGGAGCCCTAGGTCGGCCGACTCACGGCCGAGACCGGTCTCCTGCCTCCGTCGCCGCGCGCGTCGCCTCCCCGGGCGGCCGTGGCGAACCTGAGGTTCGGTGGGACGACCGGGGCGCGGGTGGTTTTGGAGGGTCCAGTCATACTCTGTGAGGAGGTACGACTGGAGGTGTAGCGAGAGGACCCGAGGTGGGTTGGGCTTCTCCCTTCGGCCGCCCCCTTCCTTTTCCTGATGGGTAGGTGCTAGCTGGGGTCAGTCTCGATATGGGTCTAGCGGAGCTATGTCGTGCCGTGGCTTCTTCTGTGGAGGATTGTGGAGATATTAATGGCAGAGTGCATGGAGCTGAAATTCCGTTGCATGTTGGCCACTCGGACTCCCATGCTGTGGCATCGGAAGCAATCGCGCTTGTTCACGAGACCTTTGAGGTTTTTTAGCCTATGAAAACACCAACGAGCGTCCTACTTATAGGCAGGGATGTTTGACTTTCTACGTGCACAAAGAAAACACTATGTTCTGTTGTATGCAATGCTGAATACATCGGAAGAGGATAATCTTGATTGGTTTCTTTAATATCCCAAACACTCCATGTATGCCATATATGCCTACATTGGGGTGGTTTGATGGAGTGTTTGGGTATTGTCGTTCCAAAACTTTCCTCTTCCAGGCTTTCTTGGGGACATCATCCGTGGAGACCTCACGCATGTCGACACCCAGGCCGTGGCGAATTCTGGAACTCCGCAGATGTCTACGAAATCTACGGACCATCGCAGATTTAGTTCATAAGCTCATGGCAAATTAAGGCTGCAAAACTGCAATGAGCTACTCATTATAACAAGTGAGTGGCACAAAAGACCTATCAACAAAGTAACATGACCAATATTTGAGATTATTTTTAAACATCTGCCATGAGGGGGATTGCTGTATCGTTCTCTCTGCAAAAAAAAGAACAACATCCAACTCACAAACTTCATGTATTCGATGTATGATTCTATATCTGATAACGTCAATATCGCCTATATTGACCCAAAAAGATCCAAAAAGGTCACGGAGTCTCTGCCCAAGCTGCTCCTGAACCCCGCCCTTTCCGCAGCTGGAACCACGCTTCTGCAGACCTCTTTTCGCTGACCAAGAAGCTTCCGAGGTCCGGCGTGAGTGGGCGTGAGGGCCGAACGGCTGGAGGAACCTCCTCCAGGGATGGGAGGCGGCCTGGGGCGCAGGCGCCACCTGGGCTTCCCCATCCCTCTATTCGGGCTGCTAGGTCCTGGTAGGGTGTTTAGGGTGTGAAAAGAGTGGTTTTGTTTGTACTTTTTGAGGGTCCAGGGATCACATTAACTAAGATCAACATGTCTCAGAGTCCTTTCATACACCTGTATATATACATTGGTATGTCTGGTCCAATTAATATGAACAACTTCTGTATGACAGATTCGTTGAAGACGATCCAAGCAGGTGCTCGTGGTCACCCGCATGGTACTCAGCAGCCATCCGCTTGTGGTACGCTCTCTCGGACGGAGAGGGATCCATCTCTCCCACGAGGCATGGGACACGAGCCATCCCATAGCGTCTCAGCCTTCTGGGGTTCTGGGGATGGACATTTACAGCTCAGGATACTCTAAGTTCATCCCATTGCGATGTCACGGCCCTTCAGGGCCGCTCGCATCCCGAGGACTGGACCGCAGGGATCGCTTTGAACAAGCGGATCTGCAAAAACATCCAATCACCAATCCAAGTAAATGTAGACGGTTGATACTACGGTTGATTAATAAAAGCCAGCCAATATGCAAAGGTTTTACATGGTTGTACCATCCATCTCTGGGGCGCTACAGCCATCAACAGTCTACACGCTGAACCCTAAGGATCCACAGTGAGTGGTACCCTTTGAGAAGCCTGTAGGGATATGATCTTGTGATATCTTATGGGAGATATAACTCTTGCTGCAGTTGGTGGCCTCACGTCTCACCCGTTTTCAGTCGTTTTTTCAATGTAGACATCTAGGATTTCAAGATATTTCAAGTCTATCTGAAGCTCCAAAGCTCGCGGCACTGGCCTCGGCTGACGCCTCCTCTGGGCCTTTAAGTAGTTCCGAGCTGTGGACAGGTCCTGACGGTCTTTGGGCAGTAGCGTTCCTTCGCGTGACGAAGGAACAAAGTGAAAGGAACGTTCCGTGCGCGTCTTTAAAGAGGGAGACCCTGGTCTATCTTGCCCCTGGTCAATGTCCCTTCTACCTTCCTGAGGGGTTGTTGCCTGGAAAGTGGGGTCCCAACATGTGCAACGTGGGATGATTCACTGCACCCCTACCTAGAGTCGATCTGTGAGAGTAGAGGAAGGGGGTGCCCCTGGGTTGGTGGGGAACGAAGTCGTTTTCGGTTCGATGGGACAGGGGTGGGTGGCCAGGGGGGTTCGGTCCCCAGCGAAGCTGACGAGATGAATCAAAGCATTCCCAAAACGATCACGAGGATCAGCCTTGATTTGGCCATCAAGTCCAGCACGCAAGTCACATGTGTCTCTTCAAGTCACATGAAGGTGTGTGGGGCTGAAATGGCGCGGCGCAAGTGAGATCCTCCGAATGTCAAGTCACATCAATTCCCCCAGATGGGTCACCACACGATTTTGGGATCACCCTGGACTTGAAACACGTAGCTGCTATAGCAGTGTATAGCTTTCTTCTCCACGTGAGTGTGGTATGTTTACGGTGGAGTCATTGTACTGTATGGCCGGTCGAGTCTAGACCCCCAAAAACAACGATGGGAGGTCGCAAGTCTTCTGAAAGCTAATATGCATCGATCTGCATCGATGGCTTTTTTGAGACCTTCCATCTCAACGAGCCCCTTCTGATCTCGGTCAACCCTAAGAATCCAGGCCCGAACCAACACCATAGGGTTTGGTTCGGGCCCCCTGCCATGGAGGGTCCAGCACCTATCCCAACATCACCCAACCTTCCTGCAACGCCCAAAACACCGGTGAGGTCAGGTTTGTCCAATCGAGCTCGCTCACAAAAGCCACGAAACCCGACGAAACCCCTCCGCCCGGGTCCTTGAAGCCCCACTCCTCCTGGCATCGCCAATGCCCTCCCAATCCACCCGACGAACGCCTCGGGTATGTTTACCTACCTCGAAGTGGCTGGGAGTGCCGTCGTGGTTCTCGTGGACCGACTAAACCACAGACCCTTCGTTCTGGGTTTTTGGATGGTCTTTTTGGTGGTTATAGTTTCAAATCAACATCCGAGGTGAAATGACAATCATTCACCAAAAGGCCAGTGATATACTTAGACTGGGATCCTCTAATAGATTGAAAGAAGCTGGGATCGGTGACCCTTCTTGCGAAACGGTGAAACATCTCATGAGAGTGCATATGCTTGATGGTGTTCAGAACCTGAAACATCAGCTGCTCCCCACCTTCGCTTGCTCAGCCCGGTTTCTTCCATGGCCTGCAGGTTGGACATGGCGTGGAGAGCCAGAGTTCCCTGGTTTATGCTGACTGGCATTGACCGGCAAGTGAAGTACATATGAAATTTACAATTTACAATAATAAAATCATCTAAATTAACATGGCCATTAGTGCGGTGGAGGCTTGCGTCAGACTCTTGAGTTCAAAAGAAAGTGAGAAGATCCGCCGGGAAGTTAGCTATGCACATGTCGTACCTTGCCTTGCAGATTCCAGAGTTCAATCCGGAGGTCGCACCTAATTGCTTCTTCAGATACACATCGGGCCGCGTGCAAACACGTGCAGGTCATGACTCGCAAACACAGCCAACACCGCAGCATTATTAGCTCCATGAAAAGCTCTCCAAAGTGAGAAGATGGATGAATCAAGAAAAATGTCCAAGGAAGGTGACCCACCAAGAGACATCATCTAGTCACGCTCTCCAAACATACCTTGAACACTGAAACACGGCTGTCTATCTCAGCCGTCCCCATGTCGCCACCTCCGGGTCCATAGCGGGTCCCGACCGCTCCGTCGCCCCGCCGCGCCGCCGCCTTCTTCGGTCATGGCGGACTCCGCCGTGGAGGACATGGAGCGCGATCTCCGACAGCCTGTGACGACCGACCGCCGTGACGACCGCCGTGACGACGGTCGGGAGCGAAGCGCTACGCGCTTCGGTGGGACGACCGGGGCCCGTTGGTTTTTGGCCTTTGGGTGGGTTTTATGGAGAAAAAAGGCCGACATGTTGCATATTGGATATACTGGTACCCCTGAAGAGTGATAATTATCACTCCTTTTTGTAATTATCAATCTTTTGGACAGTGGTGTGATAAAAAGCACTCCGGAGTGGAACAAAAATCAGCGTTCAGATTGCGTTGGCAGTGCGTTCACTTTGCGTTCAATTAACGTTCGCTGAGCGTTCAAGATACGTTGCGGAGCAACAAAAACCATTCTGGAGCAACTATTCTCACTCCGGAGTGCTTTTTGTCACACCACTGTCCAAAAGATTGATAATTACAAAACGGAGTGATAATTATCACTCTTCAGGGGTACCATATACAACTGTACCCATGTTTCGAGGTACAACTGGGTCGATTCCAGGGTAGAGACTCAAATGATGAAGATGACTTGGGGATGAAAGTTGATTTGTAGTTTTGTCTTAATACTTGCCAAAAGAAGAGACACCAACTCATATACCAACTCTTGATTCTGCAGATTCTGCACTGAAACCGGCGGTGTCACCCTGCTGTGTCACCCTCCCTGCTGTAAACTCCAAAGGGAGTGTAAGCCTGCATGCCCAGGGAACCCCCGTTGGCTACGCGTCGGCCCGAATTGGGTTTGGCTATGTGTTTGCCATGAGACGGAAGCTGCTGCACTGCCGCTGCACTGCTCCAGCGGAAACTTGGCATGTCACTTCTCCAAGCTCCGTGGGCCCAGAGATGTGACATCCCAAATCATCAAGATGGATCCGCAAAAAACCAGCCAAGAGATGGGGTACCCAAGTGGAATAGTCTATGGGTCCTTCACACCACCTGGAGCCGACTCAGAATTTGAACCTCCGAAAATGGGGCGTCCTCAGTCGTAGTACATGCTTTTTTCGTAGATTTATGTCCTATACTTTCCAGGAAGGAACTGGAGGCTCCAGGCACTTGACTTATAAAGACCAGAGTTGGATTGGTTAACTGATAAATGCCAATGAACAATTTAGCAAAATACCTGGAGTTTCCAAGTTGTCTGGAAAATGAGTACAATATGGTACCATCACAAGCACCTGGTGCTTGTGGTGTCCCGTTTTCTAAGGCGCTTGAAGTCAGGTCCAGGTGACCCCTGCCGGCCTGCACTGGCGCCTCGCCCGGACTGTGGCCGGCTCGCGGGCGAGTCGGGGATGCCTGATCCGACGGAGGCGGCGAGTCTTCGGTGTGTCAGAAGACCCCCGGGGTATACGGCTATGGGTGAAAACCTAGGGGAACCTTGGTTGACCGACAATAGAACAGGAACAGAAAAAAAGAACTGGGGACGTCAACCTACCAGCGAAAAACATACAAATCCTTGGATCATGTTTGCTAAGAATACCCACCCGCCCAGTGTTCTTTTGCTTCCATGCATGTGTTTCAACGTCCGGGGCAAAAAACAACGAACCAATCGTCCGCCCGTCTACCGCCCTATGCCGAACACGGTGGCACAGGAACGCCGGGCTCCGCCTCCTCGTGGTGCCTCCTCCGGAGTTCTCTCACCTGAAACGAGGACGGTGCAGCTGTGGTCGCTGCCCAACAGGACGGTGCAGCTGTGCTCTTCCCTCAAAACGTCGCCTGTGACTGAGAAAGAGAAGGTTGAACCTTATATTATGTTTTATTGTTTCTTTTAATTTAAACAAAATCAACGTAAATATACGTCGCTAAAAAAGAGTTGAAATGAGGATATACATCGAACTGCCAGTACCTCGCAGTGGTACTCCAGCATCTCAATTTGATCGTGGTGGCACTGCAAGGGATTTGTTGCCACCAGGGGTTCTCTTGCAAGACATGCCAACTCTGTTGGGGCTTCTTATGTCCAGCAATCATGTGGTTCAGTCCAAGGATGATGAGCAACACCGACGATCGGTGATTGTTCTAAAGCAATCCTGATCGTTCAGCGTCATTGGCAGCTTCCTGGGATCCCTCTATGTTTGTGATCCATAGTGTGTGTGTGTGTGTTTTTTTGCAGTCTATATTTTTGAGTTCTTCGCGGAGGATTGTTATGTATATAGCACTCCTGGTGCGGAGTGTGGTGTCATCCCTATCTGCCCCTATCCCTTGCAAGGAACTCTTGGAATGTCCTTGTGCCAAATCTTTGAGGTGAGTAGGTAAATATGCAATACATGCATGGAGTGTCTGGGATAGGCCAACCCCCCAAAAATGCACATGATCCGAGATGACAGCTGATAATCTTCACCTTCACACAAGCATCTTGGACTAAACATCATCTAGCTGGAGCCCCATCTGATACAAGTTGCGTTTTGGTAGAACATAGAGATGGATCTTTTCCGTTGAACCAATTCCGTCCTGCATGCAGATAGACCTGAAAGGCTAACAAAAACAAACAAAAACACATAGAACTATCATGAACTCTCCAACAAAACCTTGGATTTGTTTCTTCGGAAGCCGGGAAAACGTGCATCCTGGAATTCACCCAGGAACCGGGAAAATCAAGCAAATAGATCTGATCCGCCCAAAAGCAGGAGAAGCGTGCAACAAATCCATTTGTTCTACACCCGTGACTGGCCGTGCTACCGAACCGAAGCGCGAACCGGTTCGGCGGGACGACCGGGGCCCGGGTGCCATGTTCCGTCGGGTCCAGGAGCTACCGAACCTGAGGAAGTACGACGAAGGAGGTTCTCCAACCTAATAGCGATGGCCTCCAACCTGCTGGTCGCATGATATCGCATGGCGTTCCAGTCACTCCCGTTCGCGTCTCGCCTGCAGCTGTGGAGGGTGGCGTCCCCCAAGCAGCCTGGGCCAAGGGGGTGGTCGTGGATGTTCATGAGACAAGCAAATCTGCAAAAACTACACTCCCTGAAGCAATCATGATGGAAAATGGCCCCTGTCAAGACCATTTTCCTCTACAAGCAGGGAGGTTGTCCACTTCCATAGTTGTTGGAGGGAGGGTAACAAAGAAGATGAACAAATGAACCGAGCACAAAGGTGGATGCTACGTATGCTACAGTCACTGGAAATTCCACAATGATCCAAATCCCCATTCGGAATGTCTGAGAGATCCTGCCATCGGTTGACCTTGAGGAGCTGCCTCGGTGCGACCAGTCGGTGAAGGCAGTCGTTCCACTTCATGGTGAGTTTCTTTTTTGAGATTCGATCCTGAGAGCTCCATTACAAACCCTATAAGGATCCACATACCTTCTCAGGAGGTACGACTGGGCACATAAATAGTCTCCGTCCTCACCGTACCGGAGGTTCGGTACGACTGGATCTATAGGGAAAGTATAGACTTAGAGGACCCGAACTTGGGCTCCGTCGGTTCCCTGGGACTGCGGGGTGCAGTGGGTGGGTGGGGACTGGGGGGAGTCAGTGCTTACCGAAGCTGAGGAGAGGAGCTGAGGGTGGAAAAAGCCTTGGAAACACAAGGGGGTTCCATCTGGCCATGATCTCCACCTTTGGTCTGATAAACAATAGATACCACCCAGACGCTCCAAACAGGCCTCGGTCCCTCCATATCGGTCCATATGAGGTTACGGTCCCTACTTAGCAGGGTCCACGAGCGTCTGGGTACCATCGCTTTTTGTGAAGTGACCCAAAAGTGACCTGCTTCATCCTGAAAAAACCGGGCCTGGGAACCAGTGCGACACCGGCTGTTTGCGAACCCACGGGCCCGGCTGTGAAGAGTATATAGCGAACCGTTTGACTCAGCGGGTGGTGCAGGTCCTACCTATGGCCTATGAGCAAACATGCAGCAAGGACAAGACAAGACTTGATGACACACATGAATTTGCTTTGGTGCATTTTGGTGTAGATGATTTGGTGGACGACTACCATTCTACGACTGCCATGTTACCAGAATGGTAGATGAACTTCATTAATCTTGGTGTATATTTGTCATGGAGGTCTAAGCATCGATATGGTCGAATCGCTAAGAGGCAAACATAGGGGGGAAAACAAGAACACATCCTTAACAAACCCTAAAACTCCAGTCGTACCGAACCTGAGGTTCGGTGGGACGACCGGGGCCCGGGTGCCAGGAGGGTCCAGTCATACCGAACCGCTTGGGAGGTACAACTGGAGCCCACCCGGCAGGGGATGTAAGATCCTGAGGATCCACTTCCCCCACCTTCGCTGGATGGTACCTAGACTGGGGGAACCCGTATGACTGAACCCGACTGGACTGGACGCGACCAGCTAGATAACAGTGCCCAAAATATCACCGGATTCGTATGTGGATCCATAGGGAACGCAAGCATTCAGAATTCCGTGTGCTATTCTGGAGCGTGCGCATAAAAGATCCTGCTGAATCAACCGCCTTGAAGACATCTTATAGTGGATTGAGAGGACCAATGGCGCAACCCCCAAGTTAGGTGGTTTACATGGATCCCCATCCACAACCACATCTTGGGGTGTGTGCCATATACTCTGATGGCCCACTGTATGTAGGTCGATGATGACCGCTATGGGATTCCTCCCCACCGACCAAGATCGGCACTGGCTTCGCAGGAAGGTCAGGGGTGATCCTCGCCTCAGGCTGAGCCATCTTAGGCCTATCGACCGAAAGCCGCGGCCTCTGTACGGGATTGAGCCGTAGGAGCCATTCCCAGGTCCACTTACAAATCAAACCATACCTATTGTGCTGTCCCATCAGGGTGTCCAATAAAGTTCCAAAAGTAGCCTGGTGCCAGTTTTCTTGGTGAACCCTTTTCTCAATCGCTGGATGAAGCATTGGTACCTGGAGCTGGGAAGGGGTTAAAGGGCAAAGAGATTAGGAGCGAGGTTCTTCACTTGGAGGCATGCGTATCACACACACTTCGAACTTGGATTTTCAGTTAATGCAAGTATCACGTTGGGAAGGAAGGTGAGGGAAACGTAAGGTGAAAAGGTCAGCGCAACTGAAATGTTTAACAATCTGTTCACTCATCTGCAGAAGCGCGGCTGAACTTCGGCGGCTGAAGGCAGCGGTAGGAAACCTGTTTGGGGGGTGGTAGCATGAAGGACCATGAAAGCAAACCGATCAGATTGGACAGCTTGAAAAACAGTTCTTCTTGCAGGTACAGGAATGTGCGTCCACATTCCCTTCCGGCTGAATCCCGTAGCTTCGTTGGCATGGCTAGGGAAACAGCTGCCATGCCCCCTGCTTGTGGAGAAATGGTGGTGGAAAACCCTTTGTCCAGGGTGGGACACACACAGGTCGCCGCATTCGGCGCTTTTTCAAAAACCGGTGGCAGGCGTGGTAGTTATGCCCCTTTTGGACATATAGGTTCACGAGTTCAGCCGCAGCAATGTCAGCGCTGGAGGGTGGAAATGTGTATTTTCGAATGGTGTGAAGTCGTGATTGAAGGCCTGATAGAGCCAAGCGCTGGCTCCCGGCAGTGGTGGAATCCCGGATTTTCCAGGGTTGAGAAGGTTGCATGTAGGTGATGGTGCGTTGTGGGAGGTCGATGTTGAAACCGAGGAGATGAAAGTCCTCCACCGGTTCTAGTTCCACTGGGTCGCCAAAGAAATTGTGGTGGATGAGGGTTTGGATAGCCGGGTGTTGAAGGAAATGTTCGTTGTGGACAATGAAGCGGTTGTCGACATAGCGATAGTAAGTAAAGTGGAGGTCTGTATGTTGAAGGAGGTTGTTGTGGATCTGATGCCAGGAATGCTCAATGAGGGTGATGGCAACGTTGCATAGGGCTGGAGAGAGCTGGGATCCAATCCCGGCCCCTCGGATTTGTTTGTAAGTATTGTTGCAAGCCCGGAAAATGCATGTGTTGAGGGCAAAGGCCACGATGGTGGTAATGTCGGAAGTCTGGATGGTGCGTTGGGTGGGGCGCTTCTGATGGTGTCGGCCAATGTGTGAGTGGTGGAAAGGATTGCCTGTGGCCTGGACATCCACCGTTAAAGTGTGTGTGGATTGCTGTTGTTGCCAGTGGTGGACGAGGGAATGAACTGCGTCGATGAGCCGGTGCTGGGGAACGGAGTTGAAAAAGCCGACCAGGTCATCGTTGGTGGCGTGTAGTGAGATGTCTGGTGGGTTTGGGTGAGGTAACTGTGAAAGTGGTGCCAAAGCTGGGGAATGGACATTTGGCCTGGATGTTGAGGGTAGAGGTGTTGGAGGATGATGTCAAGGGCACGGCTGGTGATGCGTAGCAGGTTGCCACTGAGTGATTGGAAGTATGAAATGATTGTACGGCCTTTTTGCCAGTGCTTCTTCTCCTTGAGGTGGACAACCCCGTAGGGAATGTTGAAGTCTTTTCGGAAGCCCCACTTGTAGCGAGTGCGCAGGATGGGGGGGACAGTGGCGGCCAGGTGGTCGTGGATGTTGGCGGCAGTGAGGTAGGGAAGTGGTTCGAAAAGTTCGGGGGATTGCCAGGTGTTCAAGGCGCCAGTGAAATATTGGCGAGGGCAAAACAGCCGGAGTTGTTGGAGCTCATGATCGGCATGGTGGAGTAATGTGTGTTTGCCCAAATGTTCTTGGAGTTGGCGAAGCAGGCGAGCCGTAAAGCGGGGTTGTTGTTTGAGGTGTATGTTGTGGAGGCGCCATTGGTGCTCAAGGAAAGGCTGTAGGTGTTGAACTAGGGATGGTGGAAGCCCCTGTAGTTTGAGCCATTTGGTATAGGCTGTCTTGAAAATGAGGAAGTAACGAGCCTTGCTTGGGTAATAGGTACTGTTCATATTGGCGTTGAGGAAAATGCTGAGGTGTGTAGGGAGTTGGAGTTGATCAAGTGTGAGGATGTAATGGCCGTCGACTGTAGGGGTCTCCGGATCCTGCAGGAGGGTGCGAAGGTGATCGCATGCACAGGGGAGGTCTGCGGGATCTGGCGGGGAGTGGAGGGTGTCCTCCCATGTGCGGTGGTTGTGTAGGTGGGAGCGGAGGGTTTTGTGGGCGGCTTCCCTCACTCTGTGTGAGGGGAGGTGGAGGGGTATGGTGAAATGCTTGTGCTGCTGGATGGTGGTGCGAAGCCATTGTTGGCAGTGCTTGGGAAAGTCGTCATGGGCCAAGAAGGGCACTGTCAATGGAATGTTGGGCTTTGGTGGCGTGAGATTGCGGTAGAGCAAGGCTTTGTTGAGAATGTGAAGGGCTCGGCTGCGGCCAGGTTCTTCCAAATTCACGGCCATACGCCGTATTGCATACACCTCGAGGTCTGTGTGGCAGCCGCTTCGTAGCTGCTTTGCTGCCTCAAAAGAGGCTGCGGTGTGTTTGGTGAGGTTGCGAAGGAGTTGGAGGGCGTGATGCTTCGTGGAAGTGTAAAGGTGTGGTTCTCTGAGGGTGTACTGGCGTTGTCGAAGGCGTCGGAAAAGTCGTTTGTGGGTGGCTAGTCTGGAGTAGAAGTGGGCTCTGTGTTTCGCAAACTGCCATCCCTGAGCTTTGAGTTTGAGGTGGTGGGAAATGAAAGGCCAGTTGAGTGAAGGCATCCAGTTGGCGATGTAGTGGTGCTCTTGGATCCAGGCTTGGTCGTATGTGTCATGGGAGGTGAGTTGGATAGTGGTGTAGTGGTGGATGTTGTTGTGGGAATGCCAATAACGTAAGGAGAGTTCTGCAGAAATGGGAATGTTGTTTTGAAGTTGTTTGAGTTTGGCGCGGCGATTGTGGTCGCGGTGGGGGATGCCGATAGCTGTGGAGCCAACGTAGAAGTGGCCGTGTTGATGGTAGCAGCGTTGGGGTTGGTCGGGATTGAAGTGGAGCTTGATGTAGACGGAATTGGAAGAGAGGAAGTTGTGGTAGTGGTAGGTGTGTGGTAGAATGTGGAGCTGGCGGAGGCGGTTGCGCCATTGTTGTGAGCGACGGGTGTTGGAGGGGTATGCGAAAAGTAGTGTGATATGGATGAGGCCGGTTGTAAAGATGGCCTCGGCGCGGTCAATGTATTGGGTGCGGTGGATGAGCGTGGAAAGTGTGCGGTGCAGGTGGAAGAGTTGGGTGAGGTTGGTGTGGCTGGGTTGCTGCTGGGCCACGATGGCGAGTCAGCAACCAATGGCTGCTCCGACTCCCACCAGCTGTTGTAGGCTGCGAATGGGGAGTCGATTGACTCGGTTGAGGGGTAGGCCATATTTGGTGGCTGCTTCTTTTAGCTGCTGCGTGGTGACCTTGCTTGTTTGCAGCAGTCGGATGACTTCCGTCGCAGCTTCTTGGATGGTGGGGTCGAAGGTAGTGACCCATTGTTGGATCTCTGGGTAGTTCCAGCCTTCGGGGATGTCGTCTTGCAGAGTGGGGTGTGGTGGTTGCAAGACGTCGGTGATGGCTGGTGGTTTCGGTGGTGGTGGCGTGGGTGTGTGAGAAGGGGCGGCTGGTGCGGAAGATCGGCTGGTGTTCTTGACTGGTGTGAGTGGGTTGCCCAGGTCCTGGAGTTTCTGTCGTGCACGAGCCAGTTCGTCGTTGGTGGTCTTGAGGGCGCGTAGGGCGGAGCCTTCCGCAGGTGCTGGGGAGTGGGTTTGCAGTTGGTCGATAAGCAGTTTGATGAGGGGAGCGTGAAAAGCTCGGGCATGGGTAGTTTTGTTTGGAACGTCTGTGCTCCGTTGTGTGTGGAGAGCCTCCGCTATGCCGTCAAGGTCAAGGCGGTGCTCGCGGAGTTGTTGGAGAAAAAGGGTCACGAAGACCGACTCCGCTATGCTTCTGGTGGCAATGAAACCTGTAAATTTGCCGTTGCTCAGTGTACGGGCGGTGAACTCGGAGGTACCGTGGTAGGCCAATTGCCACGGGAAGACCTCAAAGGTGGGGAGGCCGGCCACTCCTGCTTTGCGAGACCACTGGGTGGGTTGAATTGTACGATGTAGTTGGTGGCCGTGCAGGGTGTTGGAGTCCCAATGTTGCTCGGTGGGGTTCCAGGAGTCGGGAACAGGTGGTGTGGGAGATGGGATGTGTGGGGGCGGTGGGGCGGGCGCTGTGGTGCCACGTGTGGTAGGTGGTGGCGGGGGGCTGTGTTTGAAGGTCGATGGTGGTGGAGTGACAGGTTCGGCCGTGGGCAGGGGTGGCGGCGGCGGAGGTGGAAAATCTGGCTGGGAGTTGGGTGCCTGGGGTGGGGGTGTGTGCTGCGATGGCGGTGTGTACGGTGGAGTCACATAAGGGTTGGAGTGGTGGACGTGGTGTGTGCGAAGTGCGTGAGTGAGTGGGCCGTAGGTGCCTGTGGGGCTGTAGGTGTGGTGGGCGGTGGTGGGAGGAGAAGTTGTGGTATCTGGGTTGGTGAGCTGCTGATGGTGTTGCTGCATCAAATAATGATTCCAGTAGTATTGCTGCCACTGCGCGTCCATGGTGGCTGAGCGAAGTATCACTGGATCGTGGGCGTGGATCACCGGTTGTTGATTTGAGCAAGCTGAAAATGTAAAAACAGGTGCAAGACAGTCAATTGGGGAGCAATGGTGGCGTTACAGCAGTCATGCTGCCGGAAAACCGGTGTCAAAGAGAAAAACTCGAACGACCGCTGAAAACACAGGAAAACCGGAAAAACCCAAAAGGCGTCTGTGTGGGTGCGAACAACATATTGAAAATCAGACTGTCCACGGAAGCGCGCTGTTTTTCGTTGTGCAAGGTGAAACTGAACGTGG